TTTTAAGGTTTACCGGTTGATGGCTTAGGATGTGAGTAGTTCTCCAAATGAGCTTTTTAGCTCCCCCCAAAATAGTACCGCACCCATAAAACAGGACTCAACGGGAGAGAACTACCCATGTAGATTTCGCGTGGTTTTTAACCATCACCATTCTCGAAGGGTTTCAGGCCGAGGGTTCAGCGTGTACCTGATAGCTCCTGGGACCCAAACGCTCTTCTTGACGGGTTCTTGGAATGAAGGCTCATTTTAGGGTTTTTTTTGGGTTTAAGTGCTCAAAAATCTGTAAATTCTCGAAACCCTTGACACTCCCTTTCAAGACGTTAAAGATTTGACCCTATAGACACTAGGTCTAAGTGAACTCCCATAACCTTTTTGTAAAACCTGAGCCCTTGCAAACCCTAAATCCTCCAGTAAAACCTTCGAGCCCGAGTGCAAACCCTGCGGTTCACCCGACCTGCACTGTATCGCGTCGAGAGGCTGGTCCTGCTCGATAAGAGAGGACGCCTCCCATGCGGAACCATGGTTCGATGCTTCTTAGGCCTCGTGTCTACAGGCTTACCACGACGTGATCTTAGGGTTTCTACTTTCCAGCTTGAAGATGTTCAGGTGTAGGGCTTCATGCTAGAATTGGGCGGGGGCCCGAGGCCCCTTTTAGCAAGCACGAGGCTCCACATCAAACCACAACCCGACTGGCTACATGAGGAATCAAGCTCAGCATCGCAGCTCATGCACGACAGTACCAGGAGCAATGAAAATCACGATTCGGCGTTCATCGCAGCTGGCTGCAGTTCCTTCCATCCGTTCCCGCCCTAAATCCTAAACCGCAACAGCTCCGCTAATTGCCATGGTTCTCAGATTTGGAGGCACGACTGAAACACAATTTGTGCGATGGTTGGGATGAGGGTTTTGTGAAAAAACGGCTGGCCCTCTACACTCTCAGAACAATCTGTTACCTTGGGGACCAAATGACCCTTATAAGTAGGGGACCTATACCCTTATACTATGAATCTCTATATGGTATATGAACCTGAAACCCTTTTAGGGTTGATTTCACCTTAAGGTAATGCAAGCTCAACCGGCTGCTCACGCAACGACGCTACTTCGCTTCCCTCTGCTCACAGATTTGCCTCCATCCAGCCCTCAGTGCAGGCTTACAGAAATCAACCTAATAGGCATTGCTATGACGTCTCATAAAGGCAAGCAGTAATGATAAGTAACAGTACCAAATCCCTAAACCCCTAACCCCTAAACCCTAACAGAGGCATAGTAGTCGCAATCTCTCAGCTGCCTTCGAGCTGTGAGATCTCTAGGGAGGTGTAAGGCAAAAAGGGGAGCAAGGGTCAGCCGAGGGTGTACGATTTAGGGCGTCGGGTTCAGGGCTTAAGGTTTGTTAGCTCTAAAGTCTGAACCCCAAGAAAAAACAAACTACGGTCTCTGACGTCGATCCCCTCACCGACTTCACCTACCGTCGAAACTCCCAAGCCGAACCCCGAAATCCCTCCCCTGACTCTCCCGGCCCGTGCCTGCGCCTGCGCCTGCGCTTGCGCCTGCGCTAGGGCCATGGCTTGCGCCTGGGACTGCGGAGGCGTGTTCAGGCGCTGCCGCAGCTGCGTGAAGGCCTAGGCAGTGCTTCGAGGGTCGAGGCTTTGAAAACACTATAGTGCTGTTACCCAGAGATGCCCAGAGTTTGCACCACGTGGATGAATCAATGCCCTAGCTGTATCTGCACGGTATATGGTATGATGTGATACATCATGTCATATCATCTATATGTACATTGCAGACAACATCGTGATGACTACGGTCTCTGTAGCTTCAGGCGCTTAGGCTTTTCGCATGGCATTGTTCATGGTCGTAGACATTTTTTGGGGGGTGCGGTGAGGGCGAACGGGGTGGCGGTGTCCCCGGCTGCCACCCGAACCTATTACATACCGCACTACAACTAAAACTCGGCACTCTGAGAGCCAAGAGAACACATACAGTTGCTGCCATGATTTCAAGAGTGCATGTAGTCCCTCAGAGCTCAAACCCTACGATCGGAGCCCTCAATCCTGGTTTGACTAGAATTTCCTTGGGGCACTCAAGCCCCAAACCCCCAAGCCCTTTCACCACAACATCTGATACCCTGGGTTGTAGTTTTGGCGCCCTTACAAGTATTTATGAATAGGTGCTTCTATAATAATCATAACGGGAAATTATCAATTTTCCCAGCACACAACCTAGTACCGCATGAGCCTACAACCTGTACGTGGTCCCCGCAGCTTTGCACGAACAACATCGAACAACCTCGCTGTCGGGCCGGACATGCACACGATACAAGTACATGCAACAGAAAACCACATGTGCTTCTAGAACTGAGATATGTGCACAAAGAAGCGATAAAGCTATTCTGTGCAATAGTACGACTCTATTATGATGATCGTAGCCGGAGTTTTAAAGCCTAGGGGTTCATGGTTTCAGCACTCACAGCAGGGGTTTGCTGTTTAGGTGTTTTGATGGAGTTCAGGGTTTGGGGTTTCGGTTTATTCATGAGCTTACCGAGACTCTCTGACATGGGGCTTTGTGGAGAAAGTCTTCCTGGTCCAACGCCTGGATTTAGGCTTGCCGGTCGTGTTGCTAGTTCTGGCTTTTTACGGGGATTTGATGTGTGAGGAATATTTGTCTAAGCATGTAGGCTAGAACTTTGATGATCTTTCGGCGGGGTGCGAGTGAGGGAGGCTTTGCGACAGAAGCGGCTGAAGTCGAGCTGGTTGCCGGACTCTGGAAGTCGTCTCGAGCAACCTTTTGCTCTTGGGCTTCGGTGGCTTAAACTTGGGTAGAGTGAGGTTTACCCAATAGGGCCTAAGGTAGGGGGCTGCTGAAAACTCGAGAGCTGTTGGCTTTCGCGCTCTTGGGGCTTTATTGTTGAGTCTGCGGACTTGTGGCGTCGAGTTTACACCCTAGACCTGGAACCCTAAACCCTAAACCTTTGTAGTTCCCACTCTTGCACCACGATCGTTGCTTCTGCGCTTTTCGGCTTTCGGTCCTTGCGGTACCTTCCCAATGTTCAAGGCCAATCCACCCAAACCCGAATCTCATGAGCAGAGCCGTTTTTCTGAGGGGTTTTTCCTACCCGGAATCCGCGTGAACAATGTCGGAAGTCACCGGTTCTCTACGGTAAAAGCTGTTTTGGTGTCCTCCTTCACAAGGACAAGCGCGTGAAAACCGTCAGTTGTAGGGTTTATGGGAGTTTACGGTTAGCGAGGAACATTCCGAGAAGTTTAGACTGTCTTGACCATTTCTGGAACGGAACTCGAGAATTTACCACCATGTGGCCGTGGCAGCTGCAGTCCTTAACCCTCACAGCCCAGAACCACAAGACATAACCCCTTACAGTGGAAAGTTCGAGCTGAGAAAGACATGCTGAAACTGAAAACCTAAACTTTAAACCCTTTCCTGAACGAGGTCTCTCTGAAGTGCCT